GGACAAGATGAAGATGAAGATGGAAATGGCGTGTTGTAGTGTTGATGATGTAGTAGTAGTAGTAGTAGTAGTAGTATTGTTGTTGTTGTTGTTGTTGTTGTTGTGGATCCTGGTAGTGGAATGTATAATTGTGTGAGGAATTGTTGTTGATATCTTGTCGGTATGATGTAGGTATGATGTGAATGTGTGGTGTGGTGTGTGTGGTTGCGTCGCGAACGTGGCCTCGTGGTGTAGCGGTTAGCACTCTGGACTCTGAATCCAGCGACCCGAGTTCGAGTCTCGGCGAGGCCTAGTGCTATGGGCACTTTTGAAATTATCACTCTCCATGTGCATCACTTCGCAACTACCCTTCGATCACTTCGTCCCAATCACACTTCACCATTGCACTCAACACCACTCCTCAGTCTGATCAATCAGCTGGTCAATCAACAGGCTGAACGGCAAACTCTGATTCACAAACTACTATGTCGTCTGTGTTCGACCGATTGCGGTCACACACCCACCACTACGTACGCGTGTCCCAATTACACATGTCCAGGAGGCTACCACATATGCACACAGATTCCTCCTACTCCACACTTCTGCACATGCATGTGATTACGCATGTGTGTAATTGAGCCATTGTATTTCACAGACTGTTCCAGTATTGATGCTTGTGTGTGTGTGACATTGCGTGAGCGAGCTAGCAAGTGAGTGAGTTGAGTGACTGAGTGACTGAGTGAGTGAGCACGTGTGTATGTGATTGCACTGTTGGCGTGCACTGTGGGATATTTTGTGTGAGTGAAACGATGTTGTTGATGGCATGTCGTGTCGTTTGTATGTGTGGTGTGAATGTGTGATGTTATGTATGCGGTGAGCGTGCATCTACTGTCTGGTGGTGTGGCGGTGGCCACTGTCACCTGCGAATCCAGTGACCCGAATTCGAGTGACGGAGGAGCCTCGTCCTATCAGGTGTCTTTAAACTACCACTGACACTGACCTCTGACCACTGACCACTGACCACATGAATCACTTCAAGATGCATTCCTCCGACCACATCACACCACTCACACTCGACCAGTGCACACAGCTACTTCTCAGTCGGCACGTTTGTCGAGCCGTTTCGTCTGACCGGAATAGTGGTCGTGGTGTCTGTGGGACGATCGAATGGCACACCACCTAGACACAGTGTATCGAGTCAGATGTTGATGCTGTCCTGGATAGCTTGTTGTATTGGATGACATAGATGGACGCTTCAGCGATGTCAATGTGTCGGTGCGAGTGTGTTCGTGGATGTGTGAGTTGGATAGAGGGTATGTGAGAGAGTGAGTGTGTTGGTGAGTGAGTGAATCAGGAAGACAGGAATTCGGTAGGCGATTGAGATGTTTGCCTGACTGTCGGTCGGCTCCACGCGCATGCACGTGGATGTGAGGAAGAGTGAGTGGTTCATATTTGTTGTGTGTGTAGATGTATGTGACAGCGAATGTGAAGGACAAGATGAAGATGAAGATGGAAATGGCGTGTTGTAGTGTTGATGATGTAGTAGTAGTAGTAGTAGTTGTTGTTGTTGTTGTTGTTGTTGTGGATCCTGGTAGTGGAATGTATAATTGTGTGAGGAATTGTTGTTGATATCTTGTCGGTATGATGTAGGTATGATGTGAATGTGTGGTGTGGTGTGTGTGGTTGCGTCGTGAACGTGGCCTCGTGGTGTAGCGTTTAGCACTCTGGACTTTGAATCCAGCGACCCGAGTTCGAGTCTCGGCGAGGCCTAGTGCTATGGGCACTTTTGAAATTATCACTCTCCATGTGCATCACTTCGCAACTACCCTTCGATCACTTCGTCCCAATCACACTTCACCATTGCACTCAACACCACTCCTCAGTCTGATCAATCAGCTGGTCAATCAACAGGCTGAACGGCAAACTCTGATTCACAAACTACTATGTCGTCTGTGTTCGACCGATTGCGGTCACACACCCACCACTACGTACGCGTGTCCCAATTACACATGTCCAGGAGGCTACCACATATGCACACAGATTCCTCCTACTCCACACTTCTGCACATGCATGTGATTACGCATGTGTGTAATTGAGCCATTGTATTTCACAGACTGTTCCAGTATTGATGCTTGTGTGTGTGTGACATTGCGTGAGCGAGCTAGCAAGTGAGTGAGTGACTGAGTGACTGAGTGAGTGAGCACGTGTGTATGTGATTGCACTGTTGGCGTGCACTGTGGGATATTTTGTGTGAGTGAAACGATGTTGTTGATGGCATGTCGTGTCGTTTGTATGTGTGGTGTGAATGTGTGATGTTATGTATGCGGTGAACGTGCATCTACTGTCTGGTGGTGTGGCGGTGGCCACTGTCACCTGCGAATCCAGTGACCCGAATTCGAGTGACGGAGGAGCCTCGTCCTATCAGGTGTCTTTAAACTACCACTGACCACTGACCACTGACCACTGACCACATGAATCACTTCAAGATGCATTCCTCCGACCACATCACACCACTCACACTCGACCAGTGCACACAGCTACTTCTCACTCGGCATTTTTTTCGATCAGTTTCATTTGATATCTTAGCACTCTCTTCTTTGATTTCAGGATCCCGCGTGTGCATCTCACCATGATGTTTTTCTGATTTTTTTTCTGAATACTTGTAAATTTTGATTTTTTTATGCGTGTTTCCCTATACTTCTTTATTTTTTTATTTGTTTCTTTTCTACTTTTTTTTGGTTCATTCACCCATCTGATGTTGCCATGCCATTCTTCTTATTAACGTGTTTTCCATCTTCACATTTATCTCATGAATCCTATTCAATTTTATTGTTTAAATTTTCTGATTATATTTATTTACCTCGTATTATAACTCAATAATATTTAATAATATTTATAACTACTTTAACCTACTGGTATATTCACGCATAAGCTGCAAGTTCATTAGTGTATTCTTATCCTTATCCAACTCTCAATATAACCGAGTTATCATTCCTTCAGATTTGATAATATCAACATTTTGATATCATATCATGTGTCATTATATAAGTGAAGCTTATTATAAATCGCTGTCAAATAATAACGAAATTCTACTACCCTCTGTAATAGATTATACCTTATACATGTAATTTGATTGTATATTTGATTGTAATTCATTGATGTTTTTTTTTTTCAGGATAATTTACTGTACACAAATGTTTATTATTGAATTTCACTATTCTTGGTATATTGAACCTAAATGTTTATTGAATTAATTACAAATGATACATTTCAATAACAGTTGACAATTTCACTTGTGTTTTATTATGAATATAGAAATCTTTTCAGCTACCTTCATGATAATAGTCAACTAAAAGCTTTGAATCAAATGTATAATGTGAATATCATTAGAACATTATTGAGGTTTATTAGCTTATATCTCCAGTCATAGATTTAATGTTTACATTTTATACAAATTTAACAATCCATGTTTCATCGTTTTAAAGACCACTATAGAGTATGCCTAACTATTAGGTTTTATATAGAAGTTCAATCTAAATCAAAGAAAATACTTTTAGAAGGAGTATTTATTGCTTAATAATTAACCTAAGGACCTAATTAGACACTTCCTTGAGGAATAAGCCAGATTGTAGGGTCATTGAAATGTAACTGAGCCCTAGTCAAATGATCCGGCAGTTAGGTCACTGAATATTGAACAGATCATCAATCCCTGTCAAAGTCAAGCACGACCAACGCGCATTAGTTAATCATATGATATGGATTGGCCCATGCGGTGGTGGTCTGAAAATCTTCTTTGTGCTAATTCTTACTAATATATTTCCGTAATAACGTCCTTTGTGTTATAACATCTTGATGCGTCGAAGGGCAATCCATGTTAGATACTGACGACGACGTGTGACTTTGACATTAGCTTTTGGTTACACCATTCCCGTCTAACTCGAGTAGGCCGTCAATCATTCGACATATATCATCTATGTTAGTGATCTACAAGATGAATGGATAATGTTAGTTGATTAGAGCATTATGTATATTCTATATTGTAGTGTGTCATAATTTTCTAATTGTTTTAATGACATAATGTTATTTGTTTAGTATTTATTTGAACGCATAAACTTTGGTACAAGGCGAAACCGAATAGATATGCTCCACATAAATCATTCGATTTGTGTGAGGGCTAGTTTACTACCCGGGTGCCCAAACCGAAGCCGGTTGTTTCCGTACGGGATCACACCTGGGGCCTTTGACCTAAAGGTCTGATCCACAAGGCAGTGAAGCAACCTGAGGAGGTGCGGTACCATGGTAACCGGTGACCAACGACTGGTTCGTATGCCATTTGTCCCTGCAGGATACTGGAGCCCATGTACACCATTTTTTAGGAATCAGGGCTTTCCAACTCCCCTAAGTGGATTCACCGTATCCACCAACCCGGTTAAAGCACCGGACATTCGCTTTTCATCCTCTCAATTATATAAACAATAACCCCGCCGCAAGAAGGTATTAAGTAAGACTTCCCTGGCAGTGGTTGTATGCACATAGCCATATGAGAACATTTCGAGAGAGAGAGAGAGAGAGAGAGAGAGAGAGCTGACTCTTCACACTCTCAGCCATATCAAGGTATTTGAGGGCTAGACATATTGATTGACAAATGTTCATAATAAACTGAATAATAATCTAATAAGTGAAAGTTATACAGAAAATAAACTTCTTTAGGATGTACCAGGCTCTAGTATGCTGAAACTTTATTCGACTGACGTATATACCATCTATCTGAAGTACATTAAAATAATTAAAAAGAAAAGAAAAAACTATTTGAATGAAAATAATTTTTTTTAAATTTTTTCTCAACCAATGAAAATAAAGTTAATTTTTCTTTTCTTTAATCCTTTTTTTCTCTCGTTTTTTTTCTTTTATTTATAGAATAGAAAAATTTTTTCTTGAAAAAAAAAACAAAAAAATATTTTTAATTTGGATTACAAATTGTTCTAAATATTTACGATTACAACCAATACAACAACATTGTGTTACAACTTGATCTGGTTCATAAATTGTATATAATGTACACAAATCATCAAACGTTTTTGTCGATATAAAATTCTTTCTAAATCTGAAATATGCACAGAAAGAGAGGGAGTGAGAGTGAGTGAGTAAGAAAGAGAGAGAGGGAGATAAGTAAGTAGAATATGACGCAAATCAATATCATATAACTTTTATTTTATAAAATAAAAACTGTTTTAAAAAGATTAATATAAAAGTATATCTTACCAGTCCCGACCGTTGTTGCTACCTTGTATTTGTGGGTGGGCTTGCCTATTTTGACGACCAATTGAGCTATACTGACTTGAACGATCATTCCTCAAGGTTCTACTATGTCAGATATGTCGGTTGGAGAGCGGTAAGACCAAATGCAGCAAACCCAAGGTCTGAAGGCGAAGTCGTACCACCGATTGTACAGAGGTGTGACGGTGGTAAGGTATTTTCCTCAGACAACCAACATAACAGCGATGCTTCCTTCACACAAGGAAGGGTGAGGTCAGAAACTTCGACGCTAAAAATGCACACCTCGCCTTATCCCACGGACATCTGTCTCCGGCGGTAAGGTCTCAACAAGTACGGAGCTAACACGAAAATTACTTACAGAAAGGTTGTGTATGACCGACCTCAAGCAGTTGCCCCTGGGACAACGCTCTCAGGTCTCTATGACCACCTCTTTGGTAGCAAACTTTAAAAATACTCACTTACTATCGATAAATGTTGTTATAATCTTTAAAAAAACATTTGAAGTGTATCTCTATCTATTATCGTTTTACATAGTGTATCTGTGGATCATAGATAAATTTTAATGAAATATTTCCTGTTGAAACTCAAGTATTTAGTTGTGTATACGTCTTTAAGAATGGTGCATAGTGCACTATGTTTTGTCTATAAAGGTCTGTATATGAATATTATTTTTGTCTACATATAAGAGCCATATTCCTACATATAATGAAGATTGTTACAAATTGAAATACAGCATAAATGTCACTTATTGTTCAATCGTTAATTCATTTCAGCGTTGTTTCTTATGATGAATATTGTGATAAAAATTTATCATCACTTGTAAGTAATGTAAAATTTCTTTGTGTTAAACAGCTGGCTGTCTACCTAAACCTTTTTAAGTAAACATGGTAAGACAATGATTGATGGACGACATATGAGTGACGCCAACTTAACCTTAAGAGTATTTACTTATTTAATAGGGTTAAATGAAGTTTATAAAGTAGTTAGAGGAATAATAATAATGATTTACAGTTGATGGTAAGGGTTAGAATTTAGATTTATGGTTTTCATCACGAAGTGACATAAGCTAAAATGGCAAGACGCTATTTAAACGAATGGGTGAGTGAATTCACGCCAAAATCCAAGACCTGTTATCGTAAATCTGATTGGTTCGTCCATAAATTATAGTTTCGTCGTAAACATTTACCAAAAACCATTGTTAGAAGTTTTGAGTTTAGAGATATGGATATAAACTTGTAGTGTTGGTTACTGTGTTAAACCCATATACCTTATTCTAGCTAATGGACAGGCCAATCTACTCATTCTTCTGGAGTCACGTTTTGATCTTGTTAATTATCATCGCTTAATATCGGAAGGGGTTTTTGTGGATATTATAGTAATTTTAATAGTTAAGATCATAGGTCAATTGAAGCTAGATTTGGATGTGGATGTGGATGTGTCGCTCAATTTCGTGGATTAGTTGAAGTTAGACATAAACGCCGTTGGATGCCGGCTTAGTGGTCTAGAGGTTAAGCGTTCGTGCGCGAGATCTATAGGTCCCGGGTTCGGATCTCGCGAGGTGGGATCGTGGATTTGCAGTGCTGAGGAGCCACGCAACAGGACGAAATGTCTGTCCAGTGCTTCCAGGTTTTCCGTGGTGGTCTAGCTTCAATTGACTCATTATCTCAACTATTAAAATTATTTGCTTGTCAACCCTGGCTGTTTTTATGTAAGTGTATATGTGTGCACTTCTTATCTTACCCATTACATGTCTGTAACTTGTTTTTATCTAGCTATAAATGTCGATTCACGCTTGGTTAAATGGAGATGGCTCACTTGCCTTCTCCGCTTTTCGTTTCGTCTCGTTTCGTTTCTCTGATTGTCTGTCTGGATTAATGATTGTACGGAACAAAATCATTCAAAAATCCATTCTCGTGTTCGACAATCAGCATACAATTCAAATGGAGTCAGATATAGAGCCACTAAAGTGATGAATCCGTAAACAACATCGTCCGATCTAGTTGACGTGAAAATGAACAGCCGCACTAAAAACTTTCCAAAATCATATCGTTACTAGCAAAATTAAATAAATATTTTGTTATAGCATAATAAGCCTATGAACTTTGTTTTCTGATCAATTGTCAAGACTTTATAAAATCTTTACACCAACGAGTAACTTATGAGTAGTAAATATTAAATCATAAAGGTGAATAATAACTGGTTTTTTTTATTTATCAGTATTAAATTGAATAATTTCAGAAATGAATTCACCTTTGTGTTTGAATGATAGCGCCTCATGTAAATTCAACTATAAGACTCATTGATATTAGCGAGAAGATACATTTTAAGTGGATATTTATTTATCATACTCTAGTGATACTAAATGTCTGATAGATAATGATCAGTTAAGACTTATTACATCTAATGTTCACCGTAATAAGAGTTATGATTGACAATGTGTATGATACAATTATTAATTTATTTACAAGGAAATCAATCAATAAATTTGGATACTTTACTTATCTTTCAATATGTCAGTATAGTTATCTGGTATTTTATAGAATAAAGCACTAAATCAATATTAATAATTGAAATGATGAAATCTTCAATTTCTAAATAGAAGTTTATCTCATAATAGTTATTTCGTTGAATATACTGTAACTAGATAATTGAAATGTTGTTACACTGAATACATATGAATCGCTAGACAAGTTAGAGTTTTAACATTCTACAGAAATTCATGTACATAGTATGTTACCTGATTGTTAAATCTTATTACAATATTATTTCTATTATTATTACCATTATTTACTCTACTATCCTTACTATTATTATTATTATTGTTATCATCAAATAAAAACTTTCCTGATCATCTTTAAGAAACTCTAGATCTTTAATGATCTCTGTTTAACACAACTGACAATATAATGACTAAGTAAGATTTATTTTTTATACTGTTTAAAGGTAACCATCTATAAAACTCTATTAGTTAAGGTGTTATTATTCAATCTCTGGAAATAAGATCTTTTTATATTCATTATTAGATTATTGAGAAATTGAGATTGATGATCTGAAATATTCTAACAAAAAACGTATACCATCATAAAAGATGAAATAATAATAAGGTAATTTTATTAGCAGAATGGGTTTTGTGAAGAGTTTTAGAAATTACACAGGTTGAAATCATGAGTCAGTTGAAACTAGACCACCATTGAAAACCTGGTATGGGACTCCTCAGCAGTGCGCATCCACGATCCCGCACCACGCGGGGCTCGAACCCAGGACCTACTGGCTTCGCGCGCGAGCACTTAACCATAATTTTATTAGGTTCATTTTCGATTAATTAAATTGTATCCAAGATTGAAAATAATGAACATTAAGCATCATTAATAAACTTTATTTCTATGTTCATGGTAATAATTGCTATGTGGTTTCTTTTTTTTTTTAGACTTCATTTAATGAATAAATTAAGGGGGGAGGAGGAGGAGGAGGAGGAAAGAAACAAATAAACTAATTTCTTATTATTCACTTTATCAAGGTTAATAATGAATCAATAAAATATCCATCTATAAAGAGAAAATCCATGAAGAAACCATCTAATTAACTTTTATGATTTATGATAGAGTTTCAGACAAATAAATTTTGTTATAAGCAGGTTAATGTGATTTGCATTAGCAAAAAACATGAAAGTAAAAAGAGACTTGTTTAATAATGAATAAATGATGAATTCAATATCAAATAAATCAGATCCAAATTATTGAATGACAATTAAACATTGAATATTATTATCATCACATCTAAATCATCAACATCATCATCCAAACCATCGTCATCATCATCATCATCATCATCATCATCATCATCATCATCATCCGAATTATCTTCATCTGAATGGTCATCATCATAATCCAAATCATCAACATCATCATCCAAACCATCGTCATCATCATCCAGATCATCATCATTATCCAAATCATCATCTACAACATCAACATCCTAATCAATAGCACTAAAACAAATGAAAATGTAAAAGAAGCACATTAAAATTACACAAAAAAAGAAGAGAAAAAAGAGAGAAAAGAAGGATAATGTGAAATGTTTTTTTTAAAAAATTTTTTTGTTTATTTATTTGGAATAAACTGATTGTCTCATTTAATCTCTTAATGACCTTTATTTGACAATGAATAAATGAGTATAGTAGTTTTAATGATTGATTAGATATAAACATTTCACCAATATTAACTTCCTTTAGGTTGATATAATCATGTTTATATTGAATGAGAAAACAATAAACATGATAAACTTGTCCTTAATTGTGTGTGTGTATATGTGTGTTTGTGTCTGTATAGGTTGTTTACTTATGTAAGTAGGCTCATTTGAAAGAAAAAGATCAATCGTTGTTGTTGTTGTTGTTGACGCCGTTTGTTTTTTTATAACAATAAGTAGTTATTAGATTATTTACGTTTTAGTGTAAAAAAAAAACGTGAATTACATAATCCGTGATAAAAATGATACAAGGTATTCATTCGAACGATCAAAATCTAGATTTCATCTTTTACGATTGACTAGGTTATTGCTTATGTGTTACGGCTTCACAACACATTGTAAAGGTAGAATGATGTAATGATACAAAGTATTTTGTGCACAACAATATGTTTCTATTAAGCTATAGGATAATTGAAAAGTTTTAGCCATATATCGGTCTTTTACATTGATCACTCTATCCAAATAGGACAAAACGTGCATTGTAGATTCCATTGCTAGTCACTATCCATCTTTGCTTATAAAGTTTTATGACTTAAGGCAATCCTCACAGGATGCACATATACCAATAACAGACTGCTATGA